ATTTATTAAAGAATTATATGGAATCGCAAGTATTAGGGTGAGTATAGATATTAATTCCACTCTTGTAAAAGATGATAGACCTGTGATCTATCTCTTGAAAGTGTAAGTTGATTGTGTGGTATCTTCCAAAATCCAACTAAACCCATATATATGAGTTTTTATTGGTTTGAATTGATGATTATTTGAATAGATGTTGCTGAAGAAGGTTATATATTAACTTCAAAATTGAGTTATTGTTGTGTACTGTATAGTGACATTTGAGTTCTTCATAAAAGTTCACCTAAATGTGTGTTGCTAAAGTTTTAAAAGTGTGCCTAACAGGTATTTGTACAGTCTGTTTTGTAAAACTTTGAAATGTACAACTATATGTATTGGAGATATGTTTGTTTATTGAGCAGCCATTATATGGAGTAAGGGGTTAATTTCTTTGGATTCTCTTGTAGTATGTGTATATTACTTTTCATTGCATATTTCTGAGTCTTTGTTTCCTATTAATAGTTTCAGAATTTTTATATTTAATATTGCCCAGTGAGCTCTTGCTAGTTGTTCAATTGAGGTGTATAAGTGAATAGAATTTTGGAGGCCTTATTGTTCTATTAGATTATTATCAAGAAGTTTTTATATGATATCTGTAATGTCTTTATATCATCTTGGTATATGAATTATTCAATAGTTGTGGTTTCTAGAGATTTGGTGCCATCTAAGTATCTTGATGCAATCTTTGTTAAATATATGAAACAGAAAGATAATATTGTATTTTTGCAATTTGTGTCTAAGGTTATTGTTCCATTTGATGCCAAGGTTTTTTTTTTTTTTTAAAAAAAAAAAACTGATCCATCCTTACTTTATTTGTTAAAAAGTTTGTTATATACATTTTATATACATTTGCATCTGACTTCTTATTACAAATTCTGCTATCTAAAGAAAGAAAATTTTCTTACCGATCGGCCTGTTGCCACCCTATAGAGGCCTAACATGCCAAGGAGGCCATGTTAGTCTTGATGAAAAGTGAAAGATGAATTATGAAAAATAAGTCTGTGTATCCTTTAAGATGTCTATCTATAAAGCAGTTTGGAAACATTCTTTGATTCTTTGTTCCTGGATGATTTCTTCATTCATTTGACTTTGATTGCTGGAATTTCTTTTTTGGATGATTTTGTGGAACCATTTATTTCTGGCAGAAATTCCATTGGTTTTTTTTCAATTGCTCATGATTATGCATCTGTGTTTCCTTATTTTTTCCAGATGTGCTTTGTATTATATGTAGCCACTTTTTTTAGGTGCAAAGATAGCATGTGAGGTTGTTGATTTCATTGGTCAATTCTGTACTGACCAGTCTTTTGATGAGTTCTTCAATTGTGATTGATGAGATTTTTTGGAACATTGTATAAATTTTCTGTCGTGTTTGTCTTTTCTCTTGTTGATTGTCTTCTGTGCTCATTAGTGTTGTGATAATTCTTTTCAGGAATTCTGTATGTGTGTCTAGTATTGTTGCACATGTGAGTGTATGAAAGTTGTCTTTGATATTTGGACATATAATACATGCGTTTTGTTTATATGTAGTGGAGTTTCTTTTAAGAGTTTGCTCATTGTCAGGAGTTCTTGGTTCCATAGATTAATCTGGAATCTTCTTTGTGCCTGGTTTTCAAAAGTTGTGGTCTCCTGGTTTATGTTGCTGGGGTTGATATTTTCGAATGTTGCTTTCCAATTGGTGTACTTCTCTGAAGTGTAATTAATCTGTGTACGATTTCTATGTAGAAGACTCCATTGTGCAATGTGTTTGACTCGAAAAATGTGTTTGCAGAATTCTTTAATTGGAATGTCTATGATTTCATTCTCCCATTTTGCAAAGCTCCAGTTTGCAAAAAAGAGTGGATTGATGAAGATTGCTCTTGTGCCTGGGTTCATATTTCTGCAGTCGATTTTGGCTAGTTGGTCTGCTTCTTCATTGCCTAGGATTCTGGTGTGCATTTTTACTTTGTGAAGAATTAGTGGAATTTGAAATGTTTTGCCTGTATTCTATAATTGCTAGAGTGTGTATCAAATTTTTAGTTTTGTGAATCAGTAAATGGATCAGAAGGTTGCTAGCTTGATTTATTGCCTTTATTGCTGCTTGACTGTCTGTATGGATGTGAATATCTGTTTTTTGGGGTAATACTATGAGGAGTGAAAGAATTGCAGCCAGTTCTGCTCTTATGGATGATAAGAATGCACTAATTTGACCTTTGAATGAGGCTATGTTTGCTCCTCCATTCTGAATGGTCTATCTGATTTCCATATATTGTTTGTTGTTGTGCCACAATAATGATCCATCTGTGTATGTGGACAGGTGGGTTAAATTTTTGATTTGGTTTGCAATATCTATCAAATCTTTAATTGTGTTGGCATTTCCTTACCAGTATCTGTGAATATTGGTGATGTGACAGGTGTTTGAAGGGATTAAGACTGTTGGTGGAGGTGGCAGTGGATCTGAATTTGCAGCTTTGTTAAGTGTGAGTGCTTGAAGTGCACTGTGTGGTGATATCCTGATTCTACAGTGCGGGTTTGGATTGGATGTGTTATTATTGCTACGTTTAGTTTTGTAGGCAGGAATTTGTATAATTTCTGGTCTTTGGGAGGAGAAGGTACATTTCTTGACTGTTGAGTAATTTTCATTTAGTTGATAGCCTTTGCAAGGAGTGATTGGGGAGCCTCCTGTGATTCTTTTGTAGTGTGTGTAGATTATGTGATTATGTGTATTTTTCAGTCTTTTGCTTATGGATTTGTTGTTGTTGTTGAGTATGATTGCCCAGTGGTATTTGTGGATTTTTGCTATTGGATCAGGAATGTATTGATGAAAGATGTTCTGTACGCCGTGATAATCAAGTAAGTCTAGGTTTAAGAGTGCTTGAAGTGTAGAGCTAATATCTGTGTACCAATATGGTTCTTTTTCTATATGCTGGTTTTTAGACTTAGCATGTAGTTGTGGCCAGGAGAGTGTTTTTGTTCAGTCCTCATTCAATATTGTCTGATAAACATTAGGTTGTTTTTGGCCAGTTTGTATCTCAGGTTGTTTGACCATGGCCTGCATGAGTGTTGTTCTATCGTGTCTTCTAGTTTTTGAAGATAATTATATCTGGTGGCATATTGAATTGAATTCCAGATTTCCTAGTTTCCCAGATGATATCATGTGTGAGATTCATGCCAGTTGGTAGGATTTTGTTGTTGATATAGTGGGTGACTGATAAAGGTGACCAGAAGGAGTTTTGGGTATCTTGAAGTCTGTAGCATGTTGTAATGCTAGAGAGGTTGTTGCTGTTAATTCTGGAGAGGAAGTTAGATGCATGCATTTGCATTTGTCTTTCGTAAAGATTGATTAGGTTGTATTTATATTTGCTAAAGAAAATGTTGTTGGGAACTGTATTTGTGAGTCCTATTTTGTGTTTGAATATTATGAGGGCTTTGGACATTATTTGTTAACATTTTTGATTAGATAGAACCATATCATTGAGTAGATATTCCAGATTTGGAATTAGGATGTGGTTGAGGATATATCTGCTTTGTTTGTCTGATTTTCTTTGATCCGAGTAGTTTTGTAATTTTGTTTGCTTTGGTTTTCATAAGTGATGTTTGGTGTTGTTTGTTACCTTTGGTACAGTGTCATGTGCCCAATATTCTAATTGGGGTAGTGGGGGCGAGGCCTTTGATGATTTGATTCTGAAGAACTGCCCCTTGGCCTCTATCTTGTTGTGTACCATTAATAATAAGGAGTGCTAATTTGGTCAGATTGATTTGAATGTCATTGAGTTTATAAAATGAGGTTGTGGTATTCAAAATACTTTGAAGTTCGTATTGGTTGTTTGCAAACCATGTGGTATTATTCATGTAGGAGCATGCTGGAATGTTGATGGTTTTTAGAGTCCACCCTTGTCTGATGTTATCATAGGTTTTGGATATCATTGTATAGCCTTTATGTGCAGTTGCTATTCTAGATAAAAGTGGGTCATAAAAGATTCGCCAAAGCAGTGGTGAGATTATGTCTCCTTGATCAATGCCATCTTCCACTAGATATGGTTCAGTAGGACCAAATGGTGTGGAAACTGTATTGTTGTGGGATGAGAGAAAGTTTGATATAAAGTTTATAATGGTTGAAAGGATTTTGATTCTTTTTAGTGCCTTGAAAAGCATCTCCGTTGATACTGAGTCATACACTTTTTGCATGTCTTGACTAAGAATCCAGGCTTGTTTTGAGTTCGATTTGGCATGTTCTATGATGTTTTGAATAATATGAATCGGTTCTCAGGTACTGCAGTCCGGTAATACTGCCCAATTGTGTTGAGAGAGGATATTGTGTTTGGTTAGGACTTTGGCCAGTCTATCGTTGATGCATTTTGTAAATATTTTTCTGCCAGTTTCTAGAAGTGTGTGATTGGTCTAGTTATTCTGAGGTTGTTGTTCCATTCTTGAGATTTGGGAATTGGTATCAAATTTCTTTGTTTCCAGTCATTAGAAATTATTTGTGTTTTGAGGATGTTGTTGCAAAGTTCTATAAAAAATGAGATTGCTTTGGGACCAAGTTTTTTGAAGATGATATATGGTATTTCTGAGGGAACTGGGATGATGTGTTGTTTCTAGAGTGAATGATTTTGAGTATCTCTTCTTTTGTAATAAGGTGTGTTGTATGGTTGTATCATTTATTATCAATGTTGGGTCTGGATGTGTATTCCTGTACCCATTCTGGCCATTGAGCAATTGTTTGAGTGTTTCTTTTTGCTGTCCATTAGTAATAGTGTGTTCTGACTATGTCTTTAATTTGTGATGGTTTGGTTATTATTTTTGGAATAGCATCTTCTGTTATAATTTTGTTCAGGGTGATGTGCCTGTATGGCTTTTCTAGGATGCTATTGATGATTGCATGTTTGTTGTTGTTCATGTGTTGCAGTTTCCTAAATATTTCCATTGTAATTTTTTGTTTTGTTCTATATTTGGTGACTATTTGGAGTGCTAATTTTAGTTTGATTATGATTGTGTTGAGTTCTAAGTTTTGGGAAGAAGTTATGCTAATTGTGGATAATTCAAGTATGTGGGGGAAAGTTGAAGTTATATGGCGTTTGTTTGACTTGTTTTGTTAGTTGAAGAAGTTTGAGTAGACCTGTAATTTTGTTGAGTGCTGGGGAGGAAGTAGTTGGATCTTGGGAGATTCTTTTGTTATGTTTGATCTTTTTGATGAATTTATTAGCTGCTTTAGGATGGTTTCTTTTAGAAAATTCTACTGAGAGTTGGTTGCCCTTGATGTGATTTTGTGTTGTGAGATTGCTGTCTCAATTGATTGTTGAAATTTCTGCCAGTTTTTCTCTAAGGTATATAGCCAATTGTATAGACTTTTCCTGTGCATGTGTATTTGATGGATTGGTATGGAGAGTTGCCATATTTCTAAGTGACATATTGTAGCCACATGGTCGCTGTTTATTAAAGGTGCTGTGTTTTTATCAATGTAGGCTTCTGTTAGGTTCCAGGTTTCTTTTGTAGATATCCAATTTTGGTCGATTCTGCTGTGTTGGTTTCTGGTGTTGTACCAAGTAAATTCTTTGTTGTATGGATTTATTTCTCTGAACAAGTCTAAAAGGTTATGTTATGTTCTTGGAGAAAGTTGAGAAGTTGCTGGGTGTTTTGTCATTTGGTTGGTGATTGGGTGATTGTTTGTCCATTAAGGGGTTGATGACTTCATTAAAATCCCCTCCAATTATTATTGCCTAGTTTTTGTTGTGTGCATCTATAATGAGGTTTTTGCAGTTTTTGTGAATTGATGTTTTGAGAGAGTGATTGAATAGTGGGATGTAGATGTCTATAATTCTAACGAACTTTTATCTAGGGAAGGAGAGATCAAGTACAATAAGTAGTCTTCCTGGGATTTCTTGGTGTTTAAAGACTCGGTGGCAAGATGTGAGGTTAGGCTGATAGCCATACCCTGGCCAGTATGTGTTGAGTTATGTGTCCATCAGGTTTTGAATATGTTGGATGTCCAGTATTTGAACGTTTTAGTGTTTTCATTGATTTTTGTAGTGATTATAATGTCCCATTTGTTGCTTTTGTAGTATTCGAACCATAAGTTGTGTTTGTGTTCAATGGACAAGCCTCTAATGTTTCTGGAGCATATTTTCTTTATTAAGGGGTTTGATTGTATTTAGAAATGTTTGTTACTTGTGTGTTTCTGTGAATAGGTATGTTGTTGCTTAAGGAAGATTGGAGTGAAAGAGAGGTTATTGGAGAGGGGAAATCAGTTAAAATAATTGGTGAGTGTGTGTTTATTGATGGTTGATGATCATGATTTATTGTTTTGATAAATTCTGAAGTTTGCGTTTTATGTAGAGGTAAGTTGCATTTCAATGAGTTGTTTATAGGATGAAGTTATTTGGGCGATTGAGTTTTCTAAGTTGTTTATTTGGTTGAAAAGTTTTTCTTTTTCTGCTCTAATATTTTATGCAAGGTTAGTGGCATGTCTTTTCCTGGCTGAGCTAGAGATAGTGCTGTAAGAATCTTCATTATCTTGATTTACCATTGTGGTTGTTTCTTGAAAAGAATTCTCTGGTGGATTGTTGTATAAGTTGTTCATTTCATCTTCGAAATTGTTAATTCTTTGATTAAGTGTATTGAGATTTTGTTTGATTAAAAGAACTTCGTTACTGAGGTGTTTGAGGATGTTGTAGATGTCTTTCAGTATGAGGTTCTCGATGTGAAGGGTTTGGCTTGTATTTTATAGTTCTGTTGGCTTTTGGTTGTCTTTTACTACCTGTGCGAATGATCTTCTGAGGGAGAATTTGGTTTTGGATTTTGGGATGCCTGCTAGTTTGAATCTTGCATATAGGTAATCGAATTTCTTGGTGTTGAGTTTTTTCTGTTCTACTGATTGCTTTGTGTTCTGTACTTGAGCAGATGTTGCAGTTCTTTTTGGATAGTTCTGCTCATGCAAGTTCAGTATTGTCTAGGAAGTTTTGGATTGTTCTTCATTTGTAGGAGAGTTTCTTTGTCTTTGAATCTGAGGACTGCAAATCTTTTCCTTCTATAAGTGATAGTGTGTGGGATGTAGCAAGTTTGTGCTTTGGTTGTTTGAATGATTTCTTTGAGGTCAAAACCTGTAGTGCCTGGGGAAGGTTGATGAGTTTCAGTGTGTATATGCTTCTTTCTTCTTTGATTTGGTTCGTATTGAGAAATGGAAAAATTCTAATCAAATCAGCTTTGAAAGGGATTGCCCAGCAGTTACTAACTTTGTTATAATTTTGTTGGTTGTTGAATTCTATATTAGCTGATTGTTATATGCCTATTGTTTGTATTTTGATCAATTTAATTTCACCAAATTTGGAGAATCTGGCACGGATGTCTGCAAATGTGGTGTTAAAGAGTATGTCCCATGCTCTGATTGTTTTGTTTTTGGCTTTAATCCTATTGTATATAGGTAAAGGTTGCATGTGGATAGTGGTGTCATCATCAAGCTTAATGTTTTTGGCTTTGTCTGCATCTGATTCAAATCCAAAAAGAGCTGTAATATTACTTCCTTCTTGGGATCTGTTGATTCTGATTGATGTGAATAATTCCAGTATTGATAGGAATTTTTATAGACATTTGAGTTTGCTGTCATCATCTTTGCCAGGGATCTCTGCTATAGAAATGTGCATTTTAAAGCATTTTCTGCCATATCCAATGAACCAGTCAATTGATTTGTTGTCTATGGTAAAGGAGGTGTTTTGTTGAACAGTAGTTTCATTGAAGAAGGGAGAAAAAGATTGGAGTGCCTGTACTTCCTCGAACCAGTCATCATATTGATTTTCTGTATTGCTAAAGTCACGTGGGGTAGATAGGTTGCTTTCATTGTCATTTTGATTGGTTTGAGGTGTTGGGTGTTTATAGTATTGACTAATAGATTTATCCTGTTTTTGTGTTTGTATTGTGTGTTGTTGCTGTTGTTGGAGGATGAACTTGCTTCGTTTGAGTTGTATCTGTCATTGTATGAAGAAGTTGTGCTTCTTAGGTTCATTTTGAGAGTGTTTTGGAGTGGAGTTTGTTGTTCATCAACCTCCATGTTTCTTGTATTATTTTGTTGTGTTTGTGTGTTTTTGGTCAAAATTGTTCTTGGTGTCATGTTGTAGGTAAAACTCAGTGCTTGGAAGTCCATTTTTGCAAAAGAAAAAAATTTCCAAAAAAGGAAATTTTCAAAAATCTGATGTGTACAGGAAAGAGTTTTTTTTTTATTTGATGTCAAGGTGTTGTTTTAGGGTTTCTCTAATGAATAGAATAGTGATTATGGATAAAGGAAGTTGAAATATGAGTAAAATTAGTGTTAAGTTTAAATATGCTTTGTTTTAGTGAGGATGTTACTGGACAGGGTGACCAAAATACATTTTGTATATCTTATAATCTAAAAAGAGTTGTGTCCTACAAGATTGTTGCTGTTTATTCTAATTATTAGGTTTATTATATGAAACTAAACTTGTCTTTCAAAGAGATTGGTTATATTGTATTCATACTTTTAAATAATATATTGTTAGGAATAGTGGAGGCTAGTTCTACTTTATGTTTGAATATTTTATAAGTTTGGACATAATTTTGTTATATGTCGACTCTGGCAATATCATGTTTATTAGTGATATTCTAATCCAGGAATTTATATATGCATTAATTGTATTTGGTACTTTTTATTGCCTTTAGATCATTGCCATATTCCTAGAATTTTGACTGGAACTGTTGATAGTAATCTTTAAATTAATTGATCATGAGTGTGATTTCTGTATCTCTGTCTTGTTGAATACCATTTATGATAATAAAAACTAATTTGGTTAGGTTTACTTGGATAGCATTGATTTTAAAGAATGTTTATGCTTCATCTATTATATGTTGGAGGTCTTGTTGAGTATTTGCAAACCAAGTTGTATTATCTATATATGCATTAGTTGCAATGTTCATTTGTTTAATCTTCCAGTTTTGTCAAATATTAGAGCTAAATTGGGTTGTAAGAAGTGGATCATAGAAGATTCTTCAAAATAAAGGAGAAATTGTGTCATCTTAATCAAATACCATCTTCTACAGGGTATGAATTGGTGAAGCCAAAGGGTGTTAAGACTATATTAAAATGATCATAGAATAGATCAAGTAAGGTGTTAATTATTTTGTTAGGAATCTTGATTTTTTTGAGTATCTTATCAAGCATATGTAATGAAATTGAGTTATAAACTTTGTTCATATCTTGACTAAAAATCCAAGCTTGCTAAGAGTTTTGCTTGGTATATTCTATTATATTTTATAAAATATGAACTGGTTCTTATATATTGCAGTCAGGTAAAGTGGCCCAATTAAGTAGTGATATGATTGAATGCAGTTAAAATATGTGGGATAAGTAATTATTGATGTATTTGATAAATATATTTCTACCCATTTCTAGAAATATAATAGGTCTTGTGATATTGAGATTATTGTTCTATGGTTGAGATTTGGGAATAGGGTAAATTGAGCCCTTCTGCCATTTATTTGAGATCTTTTGATTGTTCAGTATGTTATTGAATAGTATTATTATATATCTTATTATACTGGGACCCATATGTTTGAATGTGCAATATGAAATTTGAGAAGGTTTTGGGATAAAAGCATTGTCTCTAAATTTGATTGCTTGTAGAATTTCACTTGTAGTAAATAGTTTTAAAAGTGAAATATTCCAATTTTCTTTAATGTAAGATTAAGTAAAATATTTATCTTGCCATTTAGACTATTGACTAATGTCTTGTGTATTGTGTCTTTTTATCTATTGATAAAAATAATTCTGATAGTTTCTTTAACTATTCTATTTATAAAGATTTGGTTGTGTGGATTGTCTAGAATTATGTAAATTATTGCTTTTTTGCTAAATGACATGAATTCTAGTCTTTTGTCTATCGCTTTTCTAATTTTTTAATGTTTTGTAATTGTTTAAAATTTGAAGAGTTGCTTTTTGTTGTATAAGATAGTGTTTGATCCATATGATTAAATGTTCTAATGCTTGAAGTTTATTTTCTGTTATGTGTTATAATAGTTCAAGAAGGTCGATATGTTTTAGTGATATTATGTCATAATAATTTTTTAGGTTTTTGAATGCATAGTTGTTGGAAAATTTTAATATTCAATTTCCTAATTGTAAGAGTTTTTGAAGATTAAGGATATGTTGTAATGAAATGTGTGGGTTGTGTATCACACAATTGGATCTCTTGTTATATTTAATTTTTTTTGATAAATTTGTGAGCTACTTTCAAAATTGAGTCTCCAATAAGATTTCATTGATTGTTTATGGAGGTTTTTTATGGTTTATATTGTTGGATGTGATTTTCAATTTCTTGTTGAAATTTGATCCAGTTCTTTTTTGATGTTTACTGTCTGTTGAATCTTATGTTCTTTTTGCAATGTATCTAATATTTGGGTATTGAGAATTGCTATACTTCTACTTGACAAATGGGTCTGTTTCTTGATCAATAAAAGTATCCATAATGTTCCAGCTTTCATGTGCAAATATTCATATTTGGTCAATTTTGCTTTGATAATTTCTTGAGTTGTGTCATGTGTATTGTTGTTGATATGGATTAATGTATCTAACCGAGTCTATAAAGCAGTGGTCCATGAGAAATAAAATTAGTTTGCTGGTTCTGTTAAGTGAGATATTGGAGTTTTTGTCTAATATAGGGTCTTTGATTTTGTTAAGATCTCTTGTGAAAATTGTTGGCCAGTTGTTGTTTAATGCTTCAATAATAAATAGTTGTTTGGGAATGCTAGGTCTAGAGAAATGATTCTGCCAGTGATTTCATATTTGTTGTAGATTCTAGTAGCTAGTTGGGAGTAAGGCTAATAGCAATTACTTGTCCATATATTGTTGATTTGTATGACCACCATGTTTTGTATATGTTAGATTGCCAATATTGTGAAGTATGAATATTCATTTATTTTAGTTATAATAATGATATCTAATAGATTGTTTTTATAATGTTGAAACCACAATTATTTTTTGGTTTCATATGAGATCTCTTGGATATTTCTTGTGCAGATTCTCCATGAATTATTATTGTAGTAAATATTTGTTGAAGATTATAGTTCTATATTTTGTGTGTCTCGTACAAGTGTTATATTTTGTATAGATACACAGGAAGATAAAGAGAAGAGTGCATTGAATTGAATGAGTTATAGGTTGTGAAATTTTTTGATTTATATTTGAAACTCATTAATTATTATTGGAGAAAGGGTTGTGTTTGTTGGTGAGTTGTAAGAAGTTTAGATAAAATAAGTTCTTTAACTGATAATACCATTTGT